TTGGTTGAATAAACAAATTTTTAATGAAGCATTCCGAAATGCTAATTTAGATTACCAGGATTCTCTGTTTCTCAATAAAAAATCTTAATATGATAGTCTACTAGAAGAAAGACTTTAATTATTCGACGACAGAAAATATTCGGAATTTTTCGAAAATCCAATTTTTTACTGAAATACTGTATAGATTTCTATGCACGAGAGAGGTCGTGTTAAGAAAAGAAATATAATCCAAACAACCATATTTATTTGAAATCATAGGGTTCGGGAACTTGTATCGTTAACTCGTACCGCCCAATTCTCCCGTTAGTAGCTTCGATGGTGAAACGGCTGCGCCGAGGATCATCCTGAATGAACTGCGAGCGGCGCTCAGAGACAGCATTATCCTGTCGGCAGAAGCCCGTTCTAGGCTCCCCAGTAGTCGCAGTAATGATTCAACTCGGGTTTAATTAGGCGCGGGACAGATGCCCGGGTACACACAGTCTGAGCGACGCCCTCGCGATGCCGCTTCCCCTTCGTCCTTCTTGTCCGCTGTGTCCTCTCGTCCTCCTCGTCGTCGTAGTCGTAGTCTACACGGCACTTCGATCGTTTGTCGAGCGCTCGTTAATTAATCGCTCGCCGCGCTCGAGAACAAACGAAGCGGGCCGAGCCGGCGAGCTCGAGCGGAAGGATAAACGAGGCTACTAAGTTATTCTATTGGAATAGCGGCAAAGATCCGTTTCTCTTGCTTTTCTTCCTCGCCTTTTTCTGTTCTTTTAGCGGCGTGTGAGTACACGCTTCACGATATTCGCGTAATCCGACCAACAACTTGACACTCACGATTTTCGCGCGGTCGAATGTGTGGTTTGGAGAAAAAAAGTTATCTACGCGTCTCCGACGATCGCGTTGTCAGTATAAAAGACCGGAAAAAATTGCCGCCATCCCTGTCGCCGGCACATGCGCGAAGAGAAGACTCGTTCTGCGAAATGGAACCGCGAGCTAATTCGCATCCGCGTCGACACGTTTTTCGTCGACGATGATGCTGTCACTAACAGCCGTCGCTCCGTGGCGGTGTAACACACGATGGCTTATTCGCGGAAGACGATCCAACCGCAAGGGGAAAAAATATGCGGGAATGAGCGACGCTTGAATCAAGTTTGCGTGAGTACCACTGAGATTTTTGAAAATAACACTTGTTATCGCCGTCGTGCTGTGAATCATGTCCGTAATTGATTTATGATGTCAAAAACAACAAAATACACACGTTGGAAATACTTGTAAAATACGTAGAAATAAAAAATATAAAACGATTTGCAAAAACGATCGAGCAGATGTGTTAAATAGTCAAAACATTTTCCTTTAGTTTTAACAAAGTCTTGGTTGCCAAGCAAATTATTTGACAGGAATGCGACTTTCTAACGAATTGACCGACAAAGTGTCAATTGATTTCGGGGAAACTGATCAAAATCTGACTGATATCGTTTGTTTGAGAGGGAGAAAAACAGAGAAAGAAAGAGAGAAAATGAAAGAGAGAGAAATATGAGTCGCGGGAGCGACGCACGCCACGCCATGGTAATGCAGTTTGCGTGCTTAATTGGCCGGAGATTAGCAGAAGTTTGGTTGGAATTGCGTGTTGCTATTATACACCATGGCGGCGGACCGACAGGAAGAAATCGACGCGGCACGCATCACGAAGCGTATGTAACCGCGCGCTTTATCCGAGATAAAGTTGTTCGGACTTTGGCTCGCCAAGCACGCAAGAGCCCCGTGTTTTCCGACGTTATAGTGTATAACTTTCTTGACCGATAACCGATAACCTGGATCTAGGCGAGTAAATCTTATTATGTGGAACTAAATGAAACTTCACCGTGAAGCTATTGAAAATGTGTCGAATTTCGAATTAGGAGAGAGAAAAGAGAGAGAGAGAGAGAGAGAGAGAGAGAGAGAGAGAGAGAGAGAGAGAGAGAGATGACGAAGATATATATACAGGGTGTCCCGAAGTCCCATGATGACCCTTGGTGAGAACGTAGAACGGATTGAGGTGAGCAAGAAAGTCCTGTGCCGTTTTGCGATATTCGCAATAGTTTTTGAGAAATTAATTATTTTGTCTCAACAAATCAGCGTACAGAAAGCGGCAGCGGAAAGAAAGATGCCTTCGGCCGACGTGCGACCGTGACACTCGCGAATCGTATCTCGCCGCATCCCTCCGCCCATAGCTACGAGACATAGCGAGTCTATGTCTCGTAGCTATGGGCGGAGGGATGCGGCGAGATACGATTCGCGAGTGTCACGGTCGCACGTCGGCCGAAGGCATCTTTCTTTCCGCTGCCGCTTTCTGTACGCTGATTTGTTGAGACAAAATAATTAATTTCTCAAAAACTATTGCGAATATCGCAAAACGGCACAGGACTTTCTTGCTCACCTCAATCCGTTCTACGTTCTCACCAAGGGTCATCATGGGACTTCGGGACACCCTGTATATATATATAAACAAGATTATAATTATATTTTGTCTAATAATATATAAATTTTAAATTCATGGGTTTGGAATTATTCGAAATTTTCTCTTTTTAAGTTACTTTCCAATCAAATTATACGATATTGTCTTCAAATATTTTCGATACTATCGTGCTCAGGCAAATGGGGAAGAGAACTGAATATTATTCCGCCATTTTTCCGATAGATTTTCCATATGCGATTTACGAAGCGATTAGAAACGATTCTCGGCTGCGAACGATGCGATACGCGACACCCTCGTGCGCTCGAAAGGAAATCATCCCTCTAAGGGGATATTTGTTATTCATTCGGGGTTAGCACGAGATAGTAATGTCTGCAGGTTTTGATTTCGCCTATGGTCGGCGAATATGTAGGGCGACTAACTTTACGGCGTATCGAGATTATATCCCATTTTATTAGGAGCTGTTGTTCGCAGCTGATACCGGAAAACTCACCGCTTTTCCGATATTGGTTCCCGATGCGAAATCCGGCTTCTCGCCTTCCCTCTAACGCTTCCCTCCCCCTTCGCACAATCGTATTTCCGCCCTCGCAATTTTTCGAACGTTCCCTTCCTTCTTTCTCGGATCGATCGTAGAATATAGTCGACGGGGATCGAAATCCGCGGGGAAAGCAGGATGTTAAAATCTTTCGATGAAAATCATGTACGAAGTAGAAAGGAGTTTCGCGAGTGTAAAGAAAAAGGAGCGAAACCACGAACATGGTATGATAAAGTTTGACGTATAAAATATGCCGGACGCGTCGGCAGAATGTAATCTTCGTCGTAACTGAAGTTTCTTTCTTTATAAGGCAGTCATATAGAAAAGTATCTATGGGTTCTAAGTGTGCCGCTATAATAAAGCACTTTGCACGCAGCTTGAAACAATTAGAACAGTCTATTGAACAGTCTTTTGAATAATCATGAAAACTAAACTTGTAATCAAATCAAATATAAAGGATAAAATAAATATGTTCGTGTGTTAAATATTAAGGAAGATATTTGAAATATTCGGTATTCTCTTTTTGAATGTCTTAATTTTACACAATGCACTGAGAGCCCTGTCGAGATTTATTTGCGCAAAAATTCTAAAGTTCTGAATTACTTTTGCGAAACGGAAATGAAGAGAGAAAGAGAGAGCGCGGTCTTGCCACGGATTTCGCTCTCGTCTTGTCGTGCGAATTATTTCGCGCGTTGCTCATTCGTCGGAGAAATTTTCGTTTTAGGTAAAATATCGCCGCGACGAGAATAGGCGGGAGTGAATAGGCGAAATAGCCCTTTAGTATGCGAGCACGTGCTATGCGAAAGACAAGCGATCGTAATTGCATCAATTAGAGAAGTCGAAAAGCGCCGGGAATACATAAATCGCGCGAAAGCGCGACTTTTCGCGGAGTATCTCCCACGAGTACGAAGTTAAAATGCGGCGAAAGATATATTAAGAGTACCACGGGGATAGAGTGCGAGTCATTCTTCGCACAAGTTAATTAAGTCGCGCCTTTCCGGCAGCGTGGCGATGGTGCAGAAGGTGGAGAAGAAGCACAGAGTGTCCAGAAACACGCCGAGTTTCATTCCGCGGCTCCAAGTTTTTAATTAGTCTCCGTTTTCCGCGCGCGGGTGTGAGAAGAGATCTCGGCGAATCGCGACGAAAGAGAGAATGCGATTTCTGCGTCGACATAATAAGCCAGGCAGTTTAACCCGCTAATTTCCCATTTAGCCAGTAACGAGAGATTATGCGTCGCGAATCGCTTTCACATAAAATCGAAACTTTTCATGATAGTTGACAAAGATTATAAAAAAGTGACTTATATGCTGCATACTCTAGCAGAAATTAAACCTTGTCGGTGTCTAATCGGTGTCTAATTTTTGTCTGATCAATACTAGTCAATATTGATTTGCTACCTAATTTTTTTTAACGTTAGTGATGGTTTAATAGCTACATTATATGTTTTAGACAGCGCCATCTACTCTATCATATTTGATATGTAATAGCTAGGCAACGGTTAGACCACAAATCCGATTCAATATTGCAGTGAACAATCAACCAGTAACGAATTAGTAACGAACTAAAAAATTTAATCTAACCTGCACTAGCTAGCTACTAGCTTTTGATCAGGTTGGATCAGGTTGGCTAGTTACATTTCTGCACGGATAATTTCCTATTCTGTACTGCGTACAGAACAGAGAAATTCGGGGCTTTATGTGCTAAATGTTTACGATAATTAAAACGGTATTCTGTTGAATATTCGTTAGTTAGATTATATACTGAAAAAGATACTCAAAAATTTATTTGCAGGATGTAAAGTTTATTTCTGTGAATGACCTTTATATCCCACAAATGAATTTCCAAATATTTTTTTATTATATCCGCATTTAATTAATTAAATTAATTATTTATTTATTTAACTAGTTACACTATTATTATTTATATAATAATTAATTGTAATATTAAAATATAGCAGAATAATATAATTAATATTATCCTATTATCGAGCAAAGTTGGAAACAAGCACACTTTCGATTAAAGTAAACATACCAACATTGCTATTCTCTCCTTGGCTGTATTCTGCACATAGAAAGTAACCGATGATGAAATTACCTGAAAAGAAGAAGAAAAAACGAAATTAATTAACGAATGAAAGAAGAATCGCAGAGGTTTTCGTTCGCAGTATAGATCCACGAGCGGCGTGGATAATAAATAACAAAAACCGTGTCGACGATTTCTTTGATTGTGTGGCGCGTAATAAAGGATTAAAACGTGCGAACGCGATACGGTAATATCGCGTTTATATCGACGCTTAACGCTCCAGGAGGTAGCGACAAAGCTGAAAAATCGTCGCAGGGTTTTCATGATTCCCAGCCAATTAAAATGGCTTTTTATCGACCTCCAGGCGACATGGCGAACTCAAAGGAACCCTAGTAGACCAAAAGAGAGAGAAACAGAGACAGAGAATAGAGACAGAGAGCAGAGACACAGAGCAGAGACAGAAAGCAGAGACAGAGCAGAGACAGAGACAAAGAACAGAGACAGAGATCAGAGACTTGATGACAATAAAAATCCCTGTGCGCAATTCCGCTTCTTCTAATAAATCTGTTATTTGATATTTATTTCATTGAATTTCGGCTTATCGATTATGAAAACGTGTTTAAGTAACGCAAACATTACATGGAAAAAAAATTCGACCCGATTATCTTACCGACACTTTGTAAATTGAGCTCTTATGATCCCCGACTCTTATATTGTGACGTAATTTGCTAAACTGCAATTTTTTGCTTTCGATAATCTATCGGCAAATCGGGAGAGGAAGTCGCGAAGAGGACTGTAAGATAAAAAAAATTTCAAGATTAAGAACTCTCCAGAGTTATAGGAGCCTCCCACTTTAATATTGAAAAGTAGCTCCTCCCGATTCTCTCGGACAGTTAGCTCCGTCACGGTCTGAAACCAGATTAGGCTGCTGCAGCCCGCGTTTGTCCCTGCCATTGTTCACCGGGGATCCCCGCGGCGGCGGGTAGGAACAGCGTATCGCTCCCGTGAAGCGGATGGCCCGACGGCGAAGTGGAGGAAGAGGACGAAGAGCCAGAGGGCTGGGGGAAGTGGTAGAAGAGAGAACAGGACACGAGAGAACGGAGGAGAGTCAGTAACACTGCTCGCGCTGGAACTTTAATGGCGAAGTTGTCCGCGACTGTCTCCGTGATAAGTTCATAATGCGGCAGCCTCGCGACTGCCATTGATAACCGGCGTGGCGTAAACTTCGCCAACGACTGCGCATCCAGCCGCAGAGAGGAACGGCGAGGAGGGGACAGAGAGAGAGAGAGAGAGAGAGAGAGAGAGAGAGAGAGAGGGCCGAGAGGTCGAGAGAAGAAGACAGGAAGAGAGAAGAGAGGAGAGAATCGCGGCACTTCGAGCCTAATAGGTTTCGCAGTTGCAGACTATCGACTAACGCGCTCGACTAACTTTTCGGCGTCAGTTTCTCGCGCGGCCCGATCTTGCGACAGGCCGACGACGTTGACTGACGTCGCTTCTTCGTGTTCCTCTCTCTCTCTGTCTCTGTCTCTGTCTCTCTCTCTCTCTCTCTCTCTCTCTCTCTCTCTCTCTCTCTCTCTTCGCCGTCGAGACATCGCAGGCATCTGTTCACTCGACGACTTGTACCGGATCGCTGACAGTTCGAGCGAAAACGAAAGGTGGAGGTATTCTGGAGAGATGAGGGTGACGAGTTCGCCGCGATAGTTCTAGGGTGTATTCTCTTTCAGATCTGTAATGTGCCTTTTGCTCTCTATTTTTCGTTCTCTGCCTTTTTCTGGTTGAAGACTTAAAATTTAAGTCAGAGAAAAATTAAAAAAAAGAAACAGAAAGCATAAAGATCAGGTTTAAGAAATGAAGGGGAACGTATTGCAGTATTTATGTAGTATAGCATTTCGACATATATATTTACATGTTATGGTGATTACAAAAAGAAAGTGGGAGATGTTTAACAATTGCTTATAATATTTTGTAACTTGGTAGGGAAGATTTGCAATTTTTCATCTTGCAAAAATCGACCCTTTTCGGGAACGGAGCCTCGCCAGTTGGGAGCTTAACTCGCAAAAATCAGGGAAAATACCCGACGCGATTTTCCCTTTTTCTCCCTCTCTCTTTTTTTCTTTCTTTCCTTTTTTTCTTTCTTTTTTTCCTTTTTTTTGCGAATCCGCGTTTGTTTGAACGTACGCCAGCTTAATTTGCAGCGGACGATTCAAACGCGTTCCGGTGAGCCCTCCAATTAGCAAGACTTTTGCTAGGCAATCGAGTCAGCGTTTCGGAGGGAGTTTCAGAATTCGAGACTTTGATCAGAACGTCGTCCAATAAAGGATTTCGCGTCTCGATCCTGCTAGTATATATGAGCGCGTGTTTCTAGGCGGAAATATTCATGAGATTTCTGCAGCGAAAAATTCTGGCGCTTATAGAGAGAATTAGGATGGACGAGAGAAGAGAGATCATGATAATCGAATCGTGTTTTCCGCTCGTGTACATCAAGCTTCTCGTCCGATACAGCTCGATCGATTCTGTAATCCCCGAACGAGACGTCCGGCAACGATACTTGTCAAATCTTCTTGGGCAAACTTTTCGGCCGTGCTGTTCGCCGAGAACGTGACGTTGCAAGCTTGATTCGAGAGGAGAAGTCTCCTGAATGGCGAGTTTTATCGACCGATAACAAGAGATATCGCGAAAGCGAAAGGTGGTAGATGCGTCACCCATGCGTTCGCTCTAAGGTTAACTCGGAAAGCTGAAATATGAGCGTATCCCAAACGTTTAATAACGTATTTAGTTTAATAACATTAGCAACACTAATATCATTGTCTCAGAGAGATCTTAGTAGCTTTCAGTTTCTATTTTACAAGTAAACCTATCCAAAAGTTACACTCCTATTTCTTTCTAATTTAGCACAAATGTAGAAGCACAAAAAATATTTAAGTTATATTTTTTTATTTTGGCCTACTTTGAGATTCACGGGCAATTTATAGCTTTTTAATGTTCTCACCCCTATCATCAACAAGTACAACAAAAATGCATAAGAAATAAAATTGAATACAAGATATAGTTAAATAATCTTTCTTTAGCTGAGATTTCAGCCGAAATATTTCGAATCTGTGTTAAATTAGTCAAAACTGGTTCGACCGAACTGAGAGAAATCGGCAAATTTTAATTAAAATTTTAACAAAATGGGCATAGCTGAGACACGAACCATTTCTTTAGCCGAGATTCCAACTGAAATATTTCAAATCTGTGCTAAATTAGTCAAAAATGGTTCGAATCTCGGCCAAACCGAGAAATTATTTGTATAAATATTTTTTTTTTATTTTTTACATGTTTTGTTTAAATATTTTATTATTTATACAAATAATTTTACACATTTGACTTCATATTCATAATCAGCAAACCAAAAACGCCTATATCTTGTATTCAACTTTATTTCTTATGCATTTTTGTTACACTTGTTTATGATAGGAGTGAGAACATTAAAAAACTATAAACTGCCCGTGAAACTCAAAGTGAATCAAAATGAAAAAATATGGCCTAGTTATTTTTTGTACTTCTACATTTGTGCTAAATTAGAAAGAAATCGGAGTGTAACTTTTGGATAAATATACTTGTTAGTTCTATCTAGTTCTCTCTTTCTCTCTCTCTTTCTCTCTCTCTCTACTCGTTGCTTAATAATGAGTTTAATAATAGCGAGAGCGAGAGCGATGAGCTCGAACGGTGTTACAGCTCGGTATGGTCTTCGCAACATCTGCGGAGTCGGACACGAAGTAGCATCTCTTCTCCACCTTCCCATCGCCGGTAGCCTCGCGATAAGCGCGACATGCTTTATCCTTCCTTGCCCTTCCCCTCGCCCTATCGTTCCTGCGCGGTGGTTCCTGCCGCAAATCGATTCTCATCGCGGAATCGCGCTCATCGGACAAGGAGTCCATAAACGTGACTAATAACCTCGCGTCCTTTTCTGCGTCGCGTTTTCGCTGTTATATTGAAGACATGTACGCTCACCGAGGCTCGTTCGCGTCTTTGAGATGCGCGCTCGTAATATATGCGATATGGAAACGAACTTGCTCCGCAAAGGACAGGACAAAGGAAGAGCAGACGACTTTATCGCGCGGTGTCGCGATATCACCGTACTTGATGCGAGAAAGCGCGCAGAGGTGAATGAGGGTGTGTATACACCCGGGTGTTTCGGTAATGGGCATGGGTTCGCCAAACAAAGCGGCGTTCGTCCACTTGAAAAATGAACAGTTGCCTTCCCCTCCCTTCCAGTCTCTCACTCGAAGCGCATTATTCTTCGTTATGCAATAATTCTTTTTTTTTAACTAATTCTCCATTAAAATGAAATTTATTCGCTTGAATTTGTTCCACTTTGCAAAATAAAACGATCCTTCGCCAGGTTCTCCCTCACTCAGGATATTTAATTTTTTATTTCTGCCTCCTTTTTTGTTCTATTAATATCGGACTGAAACGATTTATCCGTTTGAATTTTATTCTACTCGAAAAAGGATCTTCCAAGTTTCATTCCCTGCGGATGTCTCTTTTTGTCCCTATCTTTTTCATATTAATATTCTGTCAAAATAACTTAACCTCTCCCTTCTTTCTATTTCTCTTTCTCTTTCGTTTCCGCATGTATTATTCTTTTTTATTTGATCTTCGTGCTCGCTTTCTCCATTTAATCCCAATGCTGTTACGGCTTAGTTACGAACCCTGGTGGTTTCGCCCGGAAACCACCGCCGTGACGTTCTCGTTGGAGCGAAACCACCCTGGGCCGAGCTAGTATTTCAAAACGATGATTTCGGGGAGTTGAAACACCGTTTCGGTTCGCGCGCGCGCGCACACGGAGGGTTAAGTTACAACGGCGTGTACCATCGTGCGTCGACGTGGCGCGGCGCGGAATCCGGAGTGCGATTTAATCGAGTGGGCTCGCGCGTAAAGCGATACGGATGACGCGAGGGTGAAAAAAATGCGGTTTCGTACACAAAGGATTTTATCGCGCGCATGCAACGAACCGCGAAAACTGCCAATAATTCAAACACGGGGTTATTTACCGGAAAACGTTAAATGCAAATCGGTTTACTCCGGTC